AATGGGAATGGGTTTTTTGAGGGCTGGACTAATATACTTAACTCAGTTCTATTCAATATCGTATCCGGTACTTAACTCAGTTTTACCCAATACCGTATCCGTATACGTTTATATGTACTATCCCTTCATAAAAAAACAGTAAATGAGATATTGTAATGGATTCATTGAGGATGTGAAGAGTCTAATTACATCATTATTTAATGTTAACATAATGAACTTATGATGAAAGATCAACGAACTTTAACATCAGAGAGTTTTGATTTAAGGACGGTGGAGGGGGAAAGGGACAGGCTTCTCCCGCGGTTCCGCGAGCAAAAGAAACATGCGGAAAGGCCACCAGATGCCCAGGTCAGGAAGAGAAATTAAATCTAGTATGAATTCCTGTCCGTTCAGTGATCTGTTAGCCATAAAGTGGTCAAGAATTCCTCGAACGAATTCAATCAACCGTTGCAACAGCAACAAACATATTCGTGGAGTTCATGGATTCCCAAATGGCTAGAAGATCGAACAGCTTTCGCCTGACAGAATGCTGAAACCACTGAAAGAACAACTGCAGCAGGAATCCGTAATCCATGATGCTAGATGTGGAAAAAAAAAAAAGACAAAGCGTTTGTGGTGGAAACGAGAAACGAGATATACCACAAAATTTAGCATTCAAAGACTGACAAAAGCAGGTAATCTCACAAAGAATTGTAAGATCTCATACTTATTTCCTGAATAGGAATTCCAATCAATCGTAATCATCAAAGATAATAAGTCAAAGGTGAATGAAGTTGAAATTGAATTCTACAAAGTTGATACTTCAAATGTAATTGAGAATTTGAAATTTCCACTTCAAACAAGCTAACAAGGCAATAACATCTCAATCATCCTTTTTTTCCATCCCTTTCTCTTTTATCTTGCCCCTTTTTAAGTTGCTTTCTTACTATTCATCCACTCTAATAACAAAACCTTTTGATTCCGGTCAGAATTCTAGTAGAAGAGTTCAGAAATTTCAAAGATACCGGATGGTATAAAAAATCTGGCAAATCGTCCAACAGCACGGCTAACCTGGTGTTAGATCTTGTTCGACCATCAAAGCCGCATCGTAATTCATCAGTAACCCATGCGATTAATATACGCCAAGCTTTTCCAGCTTCTCTTGTCTTCTGATAATTGTTTCCATATTTAATCATTTGTTTCTTTTTTTAACTTCCAACTGATTACAAAAAATGATCTACACCTTATATCACACCTCGATCACTTGCTGCTATTCAAACTGAAGAAGTGGAACTATTAAGCGTAGTGGTCACTTCTTAAAAAGGGATTGTAATTTATTACAGAAGTAAATTATCAAGTAAATAAATAATTTCAATTCTATTTTTACTTACCTGTACAACATCTTGTCGACTAAAAGATTGCATTGTAATTTCACCAAGTTTTTCCCAAATATCAGCACTGAATGAGCAGTGAGTGAGGATAGCATGACGTTGACCAATATTTTTAATTTTATTTGACATATTCTCTTCATCTTGCACATTACTCACTAAGTCATCAAAAAATCTGAAATATTTCACTTTTATCTTTTTCTGTTTAAATTTTCAAAAGTTGTGACAATTTTTACACTTTTTTGCATATTTCTGTACCAATTTTATCGTCCAAAGTACTACTTTTAAAAAAAAGTCCAAAATTTTAGTTTTATTAATTAAAAAAGTAAATTTAGCTTGTATGGTTTTTGTTTGAATGATTTTTGAAGTTACAAATTTAGCAAAATATTTTACAAGTTTAGAGAATTTTCTGCTTTGTTTTCTTTTTTTTTTTTAAAGTAATCAGAACCGCCGTAGCTTTTTTCCACTTTTCAATTCCTTCAATTTAAAACAATCAAAAATTGATATGCAAATAAATCATCAGGAAAACATACCCTACCATCAACTTTACATGTTCTTCTAAAGTACCCACACTTTCAGATGTACTTTCACGACTAAAAGCGTCCAGCACTGCTGTTTGACAAAAAATCTGCAAAAATCTAGAAGTCAATCAATGTTAGGGCAATAGGTCAGAGATGAAAGAAGAATTCTTGTAGCGTGAAAATCTCCTAAGCAAAGGTCTTTTGATCAAATGAACCTTTCGTATCATTTTAAAATTAATTATGTTGAGAATGTTTTGTAATTATCAACTCTAATTAATTCTACCAATCAAAAATACCATGTCTAAGTTAAAAACAGAAATATTGCACAAACTGAAATCAACCTGTTTAACTTTAGGCACTTCCTCTTCCAAATTATTTAATATTTTCCGCATAAGCGTTTGAATGACAGGTCGTAATGATTTCCAAGATGTGAATAGAGCTTGCTGCTGATTTATTGTCAATTTTGATGGAACATCTGATGGCAAAATTAATACAATACTTTTCATCCAAACATATATCTTTCAATGTACGAAAAAGTTTAAAAACATTCAATGTATACTGTAAATCGTAAACAGAAATATTCAATGTGTGCTCTAATTATAAGCTATGAAATAAATTTAAATTAAAATCTGAAATTTGAACTAAAAATATTAACCAAATTACGAGAAACTTAGTAAAGTAGTAATAAAGACTCACTTGATCTTTTTAATGAACGACATCTTTCTTTGGAGTTTCTATGATTGGTATTCATACTTCTTGTAGTGCCTAAATGCATAAATGACACTTAAAACGATGCAATTATAACAACTAAAACCAATCATTTAATTATAAATTAGCAATTAGATTATCATTTCAGTGACAACAGCGAATAATGATATCACTGCCGCTGAAATAGATTGGGAGGAAAAAATTTCATGTTACCGGAGAGTATGAAGAAAAACTTTATGTTAAAGAAAAAAGAAGCATTTGTCAACCGGAAACGCGCGAAAATGAATCCGGCAATAGTATTGAATTTATTCGTCAATTTAATATTTCTTTCCCTTAGTATTTTCGTTGCGATTCACTTTTCCAATAGATTTCATATTTTTCATAAAATTTTCTTGGCAGATAAATATTATAATCAGTTCGTTTACTTTTGAATCCAATAGTGTTCTTGCACCTTTTAACAGATGCAAATTATAATGAAATGATAAAATGGTACAGAAGTGAGGGAGTCAAGAATTCATGTATTCATGTATTATTTAAAACTAAAGACTTCAAGAAATTCAAAATTGATTTTAAAAAAAAAAAATTGGAGCAAACCTTTAGGATAAAGTAAAGATTTGGATCTTCGCACGCCAACACTCATACTTCTAAAAAAAGAAACACTTAAAAATTTAAAAACTGGACAATAAAATGTCGCCAGAAAAATTGCAAATTTGAATCAAACAGATGAAAAAAGACGTCCTGAGAAAAGAAAATTTACTATTTAAAGGATGAGCAAATATGAAAAAAATGATTTGAAATTTAGGAAAAGTGCAAGTTTTCTTACTTGGAAGGGATTTGCAATTTTTCAATGATGAAATGATCGAATAACAATTGAAATGAAAGCACTATGCGCAAATTTGAAAGTAGTAATTGCTGAATGTCATTGTTGATGACTGAGGCACAGATGAAAATAAGCCAAATTAAGCCTGACGTGGAACTCCGTGTATTTACGGAGTTTTGTAAACTATGGTTTTTTCAGATGATACTAACGTGTTGACAAGCGTTGAAGGATGTTTGGATGAAATGAAAAGTTTCAGTATTCTTGAATTGGTCTTTAAGAGCTTACTTTAGTATTGGTTTGATGTTTGATTTGTAAGTATTCATTTAAAAAAATGAAAAACTAATTTAAGATTTTCAAATGCTGGAACTTCTAAAGAAATATTCAAATAAAACGTATCCCAGTGAATAAAATATAATAAGTAAGAATAATTTATCATTGAACAAATAATTTCAGAACTGGCTGATAAGGGAAAATAAAATGAAATAAGACGAATGAAAGTTTTATAGTTTAATAGTTCATTTCTGAAATTGAAGATTTACAGTGTTCCGAAGAGGGGCAAATTCATTTCACTTCCATTCTATAATTCAGTTTATGCTAATTTAAATTTATTTAGCCTAGTTTATTTCAATTCAATTAATGTTATCCAAAGTTGAAATCTTTTGAAAATAATTATTCAAAAAATATTCATTAAAAAAAATTACTTCAATATTACAGAAAAGTTGGCATTCCAATGAATTTATCAATAAAGTGAACGCCCTCCACTATCAATACATTACATTGATGGAAACTTTTCTAATAGCAGAAATAGATAATTCCTATGATCAAATTGCTGTCGAATAATATAGCATCATTGATTGTAGAGATTTAGCTAACACTTCTTAACACTTAAATAACACTTGCTTGATAACAGATAACATTTACTTACTCAGGAAAACCAACGGTACTATATTTCAGTTAAATTATCATTGCTAAAGTGAGTATCAACAAAAGAATGCTTTAAATTTCTAAATGTCGAGAAGTGAAATATGATTGAAAAGTTGGTGGGAGTTATTCATTGGGATGGACGAAATTTTATATTTTAATATGCGAATTTAGGAAAAAAAGAGGATCCCTGAAAGCTAAAACACTTGAAAAAAACCTTCTGAAACCAATCAGTTCTTGAGATGAGTGAAAACAAGACATATAAATATAATAGCTTAGAGAGGGACTATAATTTTAAATTTCAACTTTTACATGCAGTAATCATGGATGAAATGATATCATAAAATGTCATCAATGTCCTATTAAAAGAAAATAATGATTTTTTCGGATCAAAAAGGAAGAAATAAGCGAATAATGACGTAAATTTAAAAAGGTGTCAACATTTCTAGAATTTTATTTAGGCAAAAATTATAATGAACTTTAAAGAAATGAAGCAGTCCAACGAATTTTGGGAATGGTTGACAAAATAAAAATTTGTTTAACAATAAAACAAATCGAAAATGTTACAGGAATCTGTAATGAATAAGGATCAAAAGAAAATTCTATTTCATCTTTCCTTTGTTTCGTTTTTTTGTAATTTCCTTTTTCACCGATTTATACTGTTATAGTTTGGTTTGGTCATTCCGGTTGAAATAGTTTAGCTATTCAGGTTGAGATGGTTTGGCCATTCTGGTTGAAATAGTTTAGCTATTCAGGTTGAGATGGTTTGGCCATTCTGGTTGAAATAGTTTAGCTATTCAGGTTGAGATGGTTTGGCCATTCTGGTTGGAACTACAATACGACAAATTTGGAAATTTTCGTCTAAAATATGGAATAAGCAAACATTGTTGCTTTTGAAGTATTTATATTATATCCGGTTGGTCGGTCAGGAAGAAAAGAAGGAATTGATGAAGGCAAGAAAGAAGTTCTAATCAATCCCATTCCTTCCTATATTTATCTTCC